TGGCCTTCCCCCGGCCCTTCGACCGATGGTATAGCATCGCCGACCGTGTTCGGTGGGGGGAGAACTCCGCCAAGGAGAGTCGCCTGCGGCAGGGCGGTGCGCCAAGGCGGCGGGGCGGGGGAAAGCGAGGGGGAGCGAGCGAGGTGATCTCGGGCGCCGCGCGTGCGTCGAGCGCAGAGGCCTGACACTGGCGAGAGAGCGCGGTATGGGTACAATGTGTATGGCCGTGCACGTGGCGCGGCGCGCGCGACGCCTTCGATGTTTCTTGCAGACGGCCTTCTGCACAGCCTCCGCGGAAGGCGGAGTGGCCCGCACCGGAAGGCGGAATGGCCGCACCCGCGAAAAACGGACCGACCACTCTGCCAGGCTGGCAGTGCCAGCAGGAAACGCGCACCCCTTGCTCCCTGCCGGCGCTTGCCCCGCTTACCGTTTCCCCCCACTGCGCAATATTTTTAGATTTTCGCAAAAAACAAATCAACATCTTCAACATCTTCAACATCTCCCGACGCGTCGTTAATTCCCGACGTGCAAAAAAACACAGCGATTGCTGAAAACGGTGAGATTCGAACTCACGCCCCGAAAGACTAGTGCCTTAAACTAGCGCCTTAGACCACTCGGCCACGTTTCCTTGGTGTTTCGGATCGCCTCTGCGGATAACGACAGACTGCACTGAATATAAAGACATACAGCATGATATTCAATCGCGATCACATCTTCGGAATCCGGATCCACGGATGAAAATACTGTATTGTAGCGCCTGCCGGGCGCACGGATCACTGGGCTGCGGTTGCCGCCGCGAAGGGGTCGACAGCCAAGCCGGTGCATACAGTAACTTTACCGCCGGGCCGTCCCGTCCCGAGCCCCCGCGTTCCCCCCCCACGTTCCACAGTGTGTCGCGGAGCAGAACGGCACAGCTGGTACCGGAACTACCCTTGGTAGGGTACGGTATGTACAGCAGGAGAGGGGGCTATCGCGGTGCTCCGGTACTGCAGCAAATGTAGCAGAGCCGGCACAGTAGTGTACTGTACGTAGAAGAAGGCTGATACAGGGGCTGTTGCGGCGCGGGAGGGGTGATTTACGCCGCGCGGACACGTTGACGGTGTGAAAATATATGACTGGTACAGTACAGTAGTTGGTATCAGACTGATCAAGTTAAAGGCAAGTGGATGAGCAACAACAGCAACAATGACTTGCCGAGGTGCGTATTGTATTGGGTCGTCGAAGGGATTCCACAGGTAACTTTTAAGGACACACGTAAGGACCGAGTTAGTGCGGGTACAGTACTACAGTACAGTACTACAGTAGCGCTGTACACGATAAAGTACGGTGCACTACGGGTTCTCCCTGGTTGTAAATATGATCATATACAGTACCTACATCTTTATTTACAACAGATTTCGAAATTTTAGAGATTTTCCCCTGTTGGCATGTTGACATGCCAACAGGGGAAAATCTCTAAAATTAGTTGACATCAACTGGTGCGCTAATCGCTTTTTTCGGTTGCTATCTGGAAGCACCTATCTCTATATTCGTTTCTTTCCTGGCGCAGGATAGAAATGGATATAGCATGCGATCACTCAGAATTCATCGATATTTCATAATCACTATAACCAATCATCTCTCGAGTGCAATATGCGCCGTGCTTCAGACCCCTTGTCTTGGCGAAAAACTTGGGAAAAACTAATACTCGGCCCCTTGCGGGCCGTCACATATGGCGACGCACTTGTTGTGTTGCGCACTCTTTAGAGCGCTGCATGGCTAAAAATGTGCGCTATAAATTAGCGCACTGGTTGCCTTGCTCTAACACCCTAGTCTACCGTAGTCTACCGTAGACACACTAGTGCACCATACTTTTAAGAGGGGTAGACTGTCTAAAGTAATACTCAAAGTACTGTATTACTTGATGTCAAGTAGACTGTCAACAGTCTACCCCTCGAGTAGGAGGGGTACGAGCCGTGCGTGCTGCCACATGAACCATGTCATACATTCTAACGTCACAGCTGTAAACCGCGGAGCAATGCATTTCCGCCAGCTGCCGCGCGATCCACGCCCCATCTCACGCCCTACCCAAAGGTACCAATGCCATGCGCCCAAAAACAGCCCCCCTTTTGCGACAATTTCCCACCTTTACACCCGCACCATCCGTCTGCCCCCCCCCCTGTGCACGACCAAGCGACGGATTCGTACTGGTCCGTATATGTATCATCCCCTTGTGTGTGGCGGGTGGCTCTGAGAAAATGCGATGTCTTCTTCATATACAAATATTTTATGCC